AGACTTTACACAATGTAACACAATGACAACATGTAACAGTTTGACTCCAACAGACGCTGTGATCAATAAACCCGCTGATGTAATGAGCTGTGTTGTCATCCTCAGCGCCATGGGAACGGTCGTGATCGATGGGCGGATCTTTGTGTGCGGCGGCTACGATGGAAAGTCGTCTCTGAACTCGGTGGAGTGCTACTCCCCGGAAGCAGACAGGTGAGGACTCATTCCACCTTAAATGCTTAATCCTGTGTAACCCGAGCATCACGCTAACAGCGCCGCGTGACCTTGAGCATGCTCAGATCTCAGGTCGGCGTCCTCGTTAACATGGCGGTGCTTATGTTCTCTCCAGGTGGACTGTGGTGACAGAGATGAGTGCGAGCCGCAGCGCCGCGGGCGTGACGGTTTTTGATGGCCGGATCGTTGTCTCGGGCGGCCATGACGGTCTGCAGATCTTCAACACAGTGAGTTTTAGGGCGGAGCCTAAAACGGAGGGTTGGAAACGTCACCTGTAGTTTTACACGTCTGTTTATCTCTGTGTTTTTGCTCCGCCCCTGCAGGTGGAGTACTACAACCACCACACTAACCGCTGGCACCCGGCGGCACCGATGCTGAATAAGCGATGCCGTCATGGGGCGGCGGCGCTCGGCAGCCACATGTACGTGGCGGGGGGGTATGATGGCTCGGGCTTCCTGAGCGGCGCCGAGGTGTTCAGCTCAGCATCTGGACAGTGGAGCCTCCTGGTGGCCATGAACACGCGGCGCAGCAGGGTGTCCCTGGTGTCCACATCGGGGCGTCTGTACGCCGTAGGCGGGTACGACGGACAATCCAATCTCAGCTCCGTGGAGATGTACAACCCCGACACGAACCGCTGGTCCTTCATGGCGCCCATGGTGTGCCACGAGGGGGGCGTAGGCGTGGGCTGCATCCCCTTGCAGCCCGCCTAAACCACCTATCACAGCGCGAGGACTCGTGATTTACTGACGGCGGCAGGCGGGAGCACACCCCGCGGCGGCGTCCCTGCAGCTTTATCGGTACGATGGCTGTGCTCAGGCTTGCAACACGACGCCGCACCTGCGGAATCATGGGAAAAACTGTAGAGCTAGCAGCAGAGGCTAGCTGCTAACGTTATTCTGTTAGCGTGTGTGGAACGATTGATTACTGATTATTGATTACTGATTTCTTACTGGATGGACACAAGCAACAGGAAGTGGCTTCCTCCCAAACAAACCAAGCTGCTGATTCGGACAGGAAGTCCTTCCTTAACGGTTTCTCGAACTGTTTGTCGATCAGCTGTAATCGATAGGAGCGATCAATACAAAACGCCAGCAACACAGGAGCCCCGCCCTCTGCAGGCTGCACAGGAAGCTCGTTTGAGGAGCGTGTTGCGCCCCCAGAGATATTAATAAACTCATTGTCACGTGACAAAACATGGTTCTCCAGCTTTCCACAGGAAGTGATGTCATGTAGCGTGCAGTCGTTTCTTTCGCTGCGATGCACGGGCGGGCTGCAGATACCTACTGCTGCTCGGCTGATGCAACGCTCGTCAAAGTGTCACCCATACTGCAGGAACCAATGAAGTCCGTGTGGTGGTTGCCCCGCCCCTCCAGGGCGATTGGCTGGATGGGGTGTGGCATCTTTGTGCCAGCCGTGTTGGACACGCCCCCTCACTTATCGACATCTGCATTTGCGTCAGCGGATAAGCGATGGAGCACGCTCAGTAGACAGATGTATGTTGAACAGCTGGAGGCGGAGTTTAGCGCACTCTGGGGGCATCGCACTCTGATTGGTCGCAGCCTGCAGAGAGCGGTCCAGTCGACCGTGTCATTGATCTCCGTGCTTAGAATCCGTCAGTCACTGTTTACTTCCTGCTGATCTCTGATTGGACGCTCAGCCTCATCATCAGTGGGTTTTATTTGTATTGATTAACTTATGATTGATTTGTTTTGTTGTGGATCAATAAAGAGAAGTTTGGTTAATAAAGTTTATTTCTGTCTCTTTGTTTCTGACAATAATCAGTTATTGATTTTGACATCTAAGCAATAAATTAGCACAACTTTGTGTTTTTGGGCATGTTTGCTTCGGGACAGGAAGGGGCGGAGACCAGGAAATGACCTGTTGCCCTCTCAGTGACCTGCGGCGACGCCATTGTCAGAACGCGTTGCATTTTAAATAGTTTATTATTTTCTCTTTGAATCAGTTATTGATCCTCAACGAAGGTTTATTCTCAGGCGGGGGATGGGCGGAGTCATGTCCTCGCTATCAGGAACCTCCTACAGAAACTTTGTTTCCTCTCGGTTCTTACCGGGGGATTTGGCGAGGCCGTCAGCCATCACTGCACCGCTGTGAGGCGCCACCCTCACACAAAATGACAGGCACCACCACGGGCTGAGATGTGCTCACTCCTGCGCAAAGTTGGCGTTGATGCTTCGGAGCTGTGAGCGCCGGCTGGAGGGCGGGAGCTCTGAATATAGTCAGGGGCGTTCTGTGACACGCTGACGTCATTCTCACACCTTTATTTTAGTTTGAAAGAAACAAGGAGCTCCTGAATGCACCGTCACATTCACCTTTATTAACACAGAGCAACACGAGGTCCAGTCGGGCTCAGATGGGTCCTCAGGTGTTCTCGGCAGGTTCACCTGAAGACCGTTACAACACGTCACGTCCACACCGAGCAGCTGAAACGCACACTGCACTTCCAGCATCCTCCACACCTGCACAGGTAGACCGGGTCAGCCTGCTCAGGCTTTCCTCTGGGGTCACTGTGCTGCAGGTCCTGGAGATCCTGGAGGGTTGCTCCTGGAGTCTGGAGCAGCAGCTCCCTCGGGCTCTGAGTGCAGATCTGAACACCTGGACAGGTAAGTGTTTGTGTTAGTTTTACCCAGAATCTCCTTTAACAGTCAGACTGAGTCTAATTCATGTTTCGTGTTGCTCGCAGTGACGACATCATTCATCAGCTGATTCTGGAAACGTCTACATCAGTCCCAAAGTATGGCCCCACCCCCTGCAGGTGGGCTGAAGTAATAACAGAAATTCCTGTGAGAATTTATGAACACTGACACAAATATATAAATATGTGTTTCTACAAACTGTAGCAGGAGGCAGAATGCTGTGACATCATTGCTGTGACCTCTGACCTCTGCTCTGTGTTGAGGTATGAACCCTCATTTTAATAAAATTTAAGGGAAATCCATCACACGCTCCCGTGAATGCTTGGTCACATGACCGAGTGTACGAGGCACTCTGACCTTTAGAGTAAGCCCCCCACCCCCCCTGTATCTAAGAAGACAAAAAGATGTGACTGCTGAGAGGATTCTGATTGGATGTTGCTGATTAGCAGGTGTGTGCGCTGATAGCGCCGCGCTCTGGTAACGCCTGTGTTCTGTGTCGACGACTCACAGCGTCTCGAAGCGGTTCTCCTCGCCATCCAGGATGCCGTGGTACAAGTCGATCTCCTGCTCTAGCCGTTGCTTGTTGCTCAGCAACGTGTCGTAGTCGCGACGCTGCTGTTCGATTTCACTGCGTATGTCGGCTAGCTCCGCCTCCAGCTTGGCCACCACTGAGCCGAGATTCTGGAGCTCCATGTCATGCCAGTGACGGGCGTCGCTCAGCGAGTTCTCCAGACCGCGTTTCTGCAGAGAGTGTATTTAACCAGTTAGTGGGAACTCGATCAGGTTATTGATCTGTGCAGATCTTGCTTGCCATGTGGCTCACCAGGGCTCTGATAGACTCGGTCTCCGCCTGCAGACTCTGGATCTTACAGCCGGTGTCGCTGCACTCAGCCTTCAGCGCCTCCACCTGTTCCTCCTCTGGACTCAGCTTGCTGCTCACGCACTGTGCCTCCTGCAGGACACACACAGCCACAGGTCAGACACGCCCACACACACACACCTTGGCACACCTGTGCAGGTGAGAGGACCTTACTTTACAGTCCAGGTAGGTGTCAGTCTCAGCCCTGCTCTTCTCCATCACTTTCTCCCAGTGGCTCCTGATATAGGCCAAGATCTGGTCCAGACTGGTTTCTATGGGCGCGTCGGGCTCGTCCACATCACGTCCCGCCATCTGACTGTACAGGATCCGCACATCCTGCTCAGAGAGGAAGTCAGCTCACATGACCTTAGCCAGCTGAAGGGAGATCACACCTGCCACACGTGCTCTGAGTCTATTCTGACTCTACTGTGTCTGTGTTGTCACACTTCTGGCTCAACTCTGACTCTACTGTGTCTCCGCTGTCACTCTTCTGACTCTACTGTGTCTCCGCTGTCACTCTTCTGGCTCTACTCT